CTTTTGTTGGGTTTGCTTTGGTTTCTTTTTAAACGCGGTAATTGTGTTTTTTCTAGGCGCTATGGAGGAAGGAAAGGAGCCGGCGGCACGCGGTGCGGGTGATGTGGTGGGAGAAGCACGGGATGTTTGCTCGAGCAGCGGTAGGTGAAGAGCGTGTTGGGGGTTTCCTGGCGAGAATCGCAGTCTCCAGGGTTGGAGGAGGTCTCTAAGATCATCAGGTCCAAGCATTAAGCTGCCGCTTTGCCGTAACCCTTAAACACTAAACCATATCCTCCAGCGCCAGATCTAAACGCCTCTTAAACACTTCCAGGAACCTCCACCACTTCCCTGGGCAATCTGTTCCAGTGCCTGAACACCCTAACAGGAAAAAAAAAATTGTAACATCTAATCTGAGTCTCCCCTGTCTCAGTTTATGACTGTTCCCTGTAGTCTTCATTTTGGTGTATCCCTTATTGAAAAGGACAGTTCAGATAAGCAGACATTCTGTATCTGCTTTATATCGTGTTCTGTGTACTTGTTTTCTTGGATGAGCTGCTGTTGGCAGTCTCAGTCTTACAGGCCTCCCAAGGAGCTTGTGTGTGGGTGCTAAAGCTTCTGTAGTAGTGACTGATGTAATCAACCTCCCTTCTATATATCTAATCTGAGCCCCTGCCTTTTCCTTGTCTGCCAGCTGCTGATTCAATCAATATTTAGTATATATATTAACTAACAGGCAAACTAATCTTTCTCACTGACTCCTGTTACTGTCCTGTGGTGGCCTGAACCAGAAAAAAACTGACTGATGGGGACAATGGCATTGTCCCAAAGCTGTAGATTACACGTTCTCACTTATCTTGATTGGAGGTTGCTGATAAGCTACATTCCATGACCCTGTTATGGATGCTGAGCAATTAGTGTTGAAATTTTTCATATTTGGGCATCTATCACAATTATGATCATGTTCACAACTGTCCCTTCAATTTCTTGAACATAAAATGTGTTTTTATTCTTTTAATTATTTAAACCTGGTAGCTAAAACTTTACCATCTGGCATCAGCTTCACCAAACTGTCAAAGCATAATGCAATCATTTTCATTGCAAATCCCCAGTGTGACAAAATCCTTGTAGTTTCAGACTGTCCTCTTCTGACTGATGAGAAGTTTGATTTTGACCTTTCACTCACTTCAGTAAGGTAAGTAAAGGTATATTTACCTGTAGACCCTTCAAAGTGGACACACATAAGGTGCTGGGCTAAATTATTTTTCTTTCTAGTGGAAGTGAAGATGAAGTTTTTGTGGGACCTTTGGGACACAAAGAAAGATGTATTTCTGCCAGAATGGAAGCAAACAAGAGTGTCTCTGTTTTTGATGATAAACTTGTGTGGAGCCCGCTTCAAGGAGAGAAATTTGTAGAAATTTTCAAAGAAGCTCATTTGTTAGCACTGCAAATAGAGACTGGAAGCAAGAATGAAGAGACTAGAAGCAAGAATGAAGAGACTAAAATAAGCAAATTGGAAGAACAGGAAGAAGAGAGTACACAAGCATTTGTGGAGGACTCAGAGTCAAAGTTGAAAATACTGGGGAACAAAATTATGGAAAGGCCCAGAGCTGTTAAACGGGAGACTTACTGTGTGCAGGACAGCCCAGCATGTCAGCTGCCACCTTGTTTTCTGAAGGCATCAGATAAGCCTTTGTCAGATGGCAAAACACATGTTCTTCCTACTCCTGCAAGCAGAAGCCCTGTGAAAGTCTGTGTGTCTCCTACAAAAATTGCCAGTTTGTCTCTGACACAGGAAGAGAAAACTAAAACAGATACAAAGGCAACTGGCAAACTGCCAATGGCAAAACCTTCATCTGCTCTTGGAAAAAGTAATTTGTTGACTATTGAAAAGGTAAACTCAATGTCTGGGCAATGTTTTCTTTGAATAAGGCATTTATGTGTTTTAGGAATGTTTAAACTGTCTACAGTCTTTTATTTTTAAAAGTGAATTTTAATCATCTGGTACTTCTCTACCTCATGAGATCCTTAGGCAAGAAATTTACACAAGTTTATATAGTTTATAAGTTTCTAACTTTTATATAAGTGCTATAGTAGCCAATTAGCTTGTATATTATGACTGTAGAGCATCTGCAGGCAAATTTCTGTTGTATTCTGGTTTAGTAAATACCATAATTCCTGGCTTCTATTCTAACTGGCTTCTAACACTGTTGCTGGTAAAATTACTGCACTGTTACACTTAACAGTAAATAAAGCCATTTTTACACATTAACTCTTGTTAGTGGAGGTGGGGGTGGAACCCTCCCCAATTATTTAGGTAGGGCAGGAAAAATCTTTTAGCTCTAGTTCTGTCCACAACTTGTCTCAGTCGTGTAAAGCACTGATTAATGTAATTACGTTTAGGATGTGGCTTTGTGACCAACTGCAAATGTATTCTAGGATAACAAGGAAACAGTTGTGTTAGTGAACATGACTATATGAAATTTGTGCTGATGACTTGTTGCAGAACTGTCCTTAGGCTGATTTCCAATATCGGGGTTCAAGCATGTTCTGGTAATTGGCAGATACACTCACTAGACTAACTTTAAACTGTATTAGTCTGAAGACTAAGGATTTCACTGGGTTCAGAGGCTTCTTCATTGTCTGTTGTCCTAGTTTCTTAACAAAATCAATGTGTGTAAAAACCTTTGTAGTGGTTTCTAGAAACACTAGTAGCTTTTAAAATGTTGCATTGAAATTTGCAGCTCAAATCAGGAAAAAACAGTCGTATTTCTACAAAAAGCATGGGATCATCTGAAGATCTGATTTCTGATAAATCTAGTGCTGCTTCAGATGTCTTCGAGTCTTCGGTCAGTGGCAGTTCCTCAGCACAAGACACAAAAGTTCTTCCTGCACCAAGTAAGGTAATGGCAAGCACTCTGAATATGAAAATAACCTCTGTAATGATCTGATAAAAAGAAAATAAATTAACACAGTTTGCTGTGTAATTTAAAGCTATACGTTTGTGTAAAATGGTTTTACGGAAAGTAATCTGTGTTTTATAATTTCCATTCTTGAATGTGTGCTCCAAGTCTGTAACGCAATGAATGTTCTTAAAAGCAACTATCAATGTGTTGGATTAACAAGCATTGCTTTTGTTTTTAAAGCAGTAGCTGCAGGTAAGTGATCAGTTTTCTGTAAGAAAGTTTGATGTGTGCAGTTAACTATGCCATATGGAAAGGTTGCCATGACTTGTATGAAGGTAGTACACCTACAGCTGTCAGCTGTATTGAAGCTGTAGATGCCAACATTAATGCTGCATGCCACTTCACTGAGTCACAGAATGCTTGAGGTTGGAAGGGACCTCTTGAGATCCTCTGGTCCAAGCCCCTGCTCAAGCAAGACCACCTGGAGTTATTTGCCCAGGCCCATGGCCAAATAGCTTTTGAATATCTTTAAGGCTGGAGTCTCTGCAATGTCTTGGGGAGGCCTGTGCCAGTGCTTGGTGACCCTTGCAGTAAAAAAGTGTTCCCTGATGTTGAGAGGTAGAGCTTCCTGTGTTTTACTCTGCCCATTGTCTCTAGTCCTGTCACTGGGCACCACTGGACACTGTCCTTTCATATACTGGTATATATTGACAAGATCCACCTTAACCTTTCTCTTCTCCAGGCTGAGCAGTGCCAAGTCTCAGCCTTTCCTCAGATGGGAATGCTCCAGTCCTTTAATCATCTTAGTGGCCTTTCGTTGGACTCTTTTTCCAGTAGCTCCAAATCACTCTCATACTGGTGAGCCTGGAACTGGACAGATGTTCAGAATCCAGTGCTGAGCAGGGTAGGATCACCTCCCTCCACCTGCTGGCAATGCTTCTCCCCATGCAGCCCAGGATACCATTAGCATTCTTTGCTGCAAGGGTGGACTGTTGGCTCCTGTTCAGCTTGTCTACGAGCACTCCCAAGGGCTTTGCAAAGCTGCTTTCCAGCTGGTTGGTGCCCTGCATATACTGGTGCTTGGGGTGACTCCTTTTATTCTTTAAGTCCATACTCAAGTTTGTGGCAGGAATAAAAATAACAGTTTGCCTCCTAGGTCTGATGTTCCAGTTCTGTATAATAATCCAGATACAGTGAACTATTTTAAGAACAATCATTTTTTGAACGGTAATCTGATAAGGAGCTCCTCAAAAATTCACAAATAAAAAGTTATAATACCAAGATAATAATGGCAAAATAATGTATTAAATAGGTGGGGCTTTTTTTTGCTTTTGAATAAACTATATTCTCTGATTCAGCCTGGCTTAAGGAAGATGACATATCTGAAACCTCCTGGTGTTGCCAGTGGTCTCACAAGAAAGACGACTACATCATCATCTTCATCATCAGTTTCCAGCATGAACTCAAGTCTGAATTCAAGTTTACCCATTTCTCCCATAGGAAAAAAAGGTAATCACTCTCACTACAGATTTGTGCCACAAATCAATTTTGAAGTAGCTAAGCATGTTTTGGACTGTAGATTTGGAAGTGTTTTAATGATTTCCAGTACATACAAGCAATAAAAAATATTTTGAATGGAGAATTTTCTAGGCTAGCCCAGTAAATCCCTGTGGACTAAAGGTAAATGTTAGACATCTATGATTTGTAAAATCTAGGTTGATATAAACCTGATGCCTCTACATGTGAGGGTCTGACCCAGCTAGAAAGTAAGCAATGCCTCAAGAAACCTGTTCTTTTCACACATGATCTTCTCTATTATAGCCAAGAACATGAGCTTCGGAATGCTCTAAGCTTGTCTAACTGGAATTAAAAGTAGAAACAGCACCAAAACAACTGAAATACAGAAGGAAGGTGGAAGGCCTTGTTCCAAGTTTCTGTAAGCCTAATAAAAGCATGAGCTTTACTCAAGCAGACAGAAAAAACACCTTTGGGGGGGTAACTGAATACAGCCCAGAGGCTTATACTCTAATGAGGCCATCAATTTGACCTGTTCAGTAAGCCTCAAGGGATCAGGAAAATAGTCTCCTAAAAGTACAGACAGATGTAAGCACCACAGTTCTTGTCGATCTCTCAAGATACCAAGTTACAGCAAATATTTTGTACTTTTGGGGAATAATAATATATTAGTGAAAGTTAAAACTTAGTAAAAACTATTTTATGCAATAGAACTGTCTGGTCAAGAATCATCCTGTTAATGAAAATAACCTACAGACTAAAAGTAAGAACTGTACAGAAAACTGGGAAAAAGTCTTGTGGGTTACTGAGTGTAACACTATTACCTTCTTGAAAGCCTTATTAAGGGAACAGAGCCAGCTATGCTGGGAGAAAATGCTGGAAGTGTTACTTGACTCTGCAAGCTGTTTTGGCATTCCTTGAACAATACTCTTTGACTTGATTGCTGTAAGTCAGGAATTTAGTGAGAAGGCTTTATAAAGCAAAATTGCTGGAGAATCCAGGGAGTGTGTTTGCAGTAGTTGTATGTGTTCTCCTTCAGCTTGAGTTGTTTGAACATGAATTTAAATGCTGCAAACTGTTATTTTTCTGTGTGCGTGTGATTATTCTGCTTACTCAAAAATTTAGCAGTAAGTGTTGACTCAGAAGTACAACTTTCTATTTCAGGAAAATCAAGCATGTCAGCAAACCCTGGTGTGAGTGGCTCTAAGCTTTCATCTGGCACAAGCAGGCTGGCCTTTGTCAGACCTGCCACAGTGTCATCTCTGCAGGCTGCCAATACTGAGAAATTCAGGAAGCAAGTGAGATCAGCTAGTACTCCCAAAGTGTCTAGTACTATGAGCTCAGCTAAATCTTCAGCTTCTGCAACATGTTCTGAGGCTGTAAGCAGTGGAATCCAGAGACTGAGCTCTGCTCCCAGTCTGCAGCAGCTATGTCAGCAGAATAAAGATGGAAGTGCAGCAAAAGGAAGCCTGTGTCCAAAGCCCAAGGCTAGAATTTTGTCTGTTCCCTTGAGTCAGACTAAGGCTATGGTGAAAACTGGAGGTAAGTACATACTTTGTATGACCTATCATCTTCTATCTTGGTTATTAAAAGCAAGTGTTATCTTGAGTGCTTGTTATTTGTTGCATTACACTTCTGTCCATATTTTGGAAGGAATTAGTATTTTAACTGGAAGATACCAGCTATAAAAGAAATAACTATAAATCTGATGGTAATGAACAAAACTTTTCTCTTTAGACGCAACACCAAACAAATTGGCACCAAAAGCAACATCATCTCTTGGATTAACATTTTGTGGCACACCTGGAAGGTAAGGCCTAACTGAAAACTGAATGCCCTGGGGCATACCTTTTAGTATGCAACATGGTTGGGTGTTGCAACAGTCTGTAAAAGTTCTCACCTCATTGTCTACCTTGAGACCCTCTAGGTTAGATGTGTTAATGCCTAGTGGAACTGGCATTAACCAAACCCCCAAACTAAACCAAACAACCCTTGCCATTCTATTCAGAAGAGGCCTGACTAGAGTCGTTCATAAAAGAATTCTTATCAAAGAAAGCCCTAACTATGCTGTGATTATCAACTTGAAGATTACTTTCCCTTAATGGCCGAAGGGAACCTTTTTTCTATTGTTTGGAAGCATAGTTTTATTCAAGCAGTTTCCACACGGTTTTTTGCTAATGCATGTTCCTTTTCTAGTGCTATGGCAGTCAGCACTCCTATAAAAACCTCAGAAGATAAGGCATTTCAGAGTTTTTGTTTTCCTGAGAGGTCTGTCTCCATGACTCCTGCCAGTCTGAAGCGCTCTGGTTTGCCCACGCCTGTTCGACGTATCTCAGGATTCCAAGCAGTGACTCCTAAAACTGTACCTAGAATGGCATGTACTCCACGTGCTGCATCTCTTTGCCAAAGCTCCAGATTTCCTACCAGAAAGACTCTTACAGCTGGGTAAGACAGAAAACTTCATATATTGATTGAAATATTGTAGGCAAACTGCCTCTGAATGAATTTGAATGATGACTTTTGGCTTCCAGGGACCTCTGCTAAATGTTAAAATGAAGCATTTGAGCACAGATGTTCTATAGGCCTAATAAAAAAATTTATCTTGTGACTAGTAAAATGCTGTAAGCCTTACTGAGATGAGTCCATATCTAACATTAAAGAATTATAATTTTAATTGTATTTCTTGAGCTAGGGAAGAACTTAAGACTTGCATCTGATGCTTTGACTGAAAACAGACTTGGTGTTATTTTGCTGTTGCCTTCTGATGAAGGGAAGCAGCTGATTAAAATGCATATTACTTTAACTTTGTTATATACTGTGTTGTCATTGGTCTGTAAAACCACACATTTTTAAGGCATAAGTCTGAAAGCCAAGGATTTACTTGACTGAACTATGGTTTAGTTGACTGAACTGTGGTACAGTAAACTGAGCAGGTTCACCTTGAACTGTAGTTTAGTTGACTGAACTATGGTACAGTAAACTGAGCAGGTTCACCCATGTTTGATTTGAAATAATACTTGTAGGATGGCAGAATCCTACACTGTTGTTAATAATGTTTGTTTTTTGTGAAAGTAATGTTGCCTTCTTCATATTATCAGCCCAGCATCTTCTGACAAGGGCCCTATAGATGTATGCAGGCTTGTTTTGTGGCTGGTGGAGATGAACAGTATTAAAGCAGGAACTGTCTAGTGGCTAGAAAACTGTCATGTTACTTAGGCCAAATGTCCCAAATAGTCTTTTCTCTCAAGGAAACAATTACTCTGTCTACAGTGACTGTATACTAACAGTTTACAGCCTGTGGTCCTCTGGCTGGGTGTCGGTACCCCCTCTCAGCAGGGACTGAATTAGGTTGCTCTGTGATAGGCAATATCAGTGCCTGTTTGCTAGTTGTTTCTTAGAAGTCTAAAAAAATCCCCCAAATCCCATGTGTGAAGTTCAGGGTGTATGTATATGTCAATTAAGATTAAATTCTGCATCATCCTGACATCATTTGCATCCTGATTTTTTCACTTTTGCGTGGGTAGACTATGCATTTATTGTAGCGTGGGATATTTTGTATTTTGCAGGTAACTAGCATTCTTTTGGATTAAATGATAATTAAGACTTAGGGTAAAAAAGGAGAAAATGAGGTTAGGGCATTGACTTGTCTGTCTTTAGTAGTTCATGCTGATTAAAAAATTCAGTTATTGCTGATGTTCTTTTCCCTAGTTCTAAACAGAAAAAAGAGAGTAAGACACAGGTATCTTCTGATGAAGATGATACATCTCCACCTGTGCTACCTCTTACACTTAACTTCTCACCAGAAAAAACTGCTACAGAAGTAGTAGAAGATGAATTAAAAGAGGCTGAAGTACAAAATCAGCTCGTGGAAGAGAAGCAACCTGAGGTATGAAAAAACAATACCTTTTCCTGCAGAACTGCTAAGTAAACTGCTTAAAACCAAATTACTTCCAAGTATTACTTTCAAGTAGAAAAACCACTTCAGTACACATGAAGTTAAAATGGTTTAGCTATAACCATCTGCACCCTCTAGTGCCTATTTTTAGCACTGAACATACGTTCAGTGTTTCCAGGAAGTTTGTTCCCATTTCAAAGTTGAACTGTCAAATATGTGCAGATTCTATGTTAAATTTCCACTTTTGAAAAAGTGTGACATCCTGGTGGATTTGATTAGCAAAGCAGTGTCACAGGGCAGTTCCTGTTGCAGCCATAGATACACACAAAAAAAAAAGGCAAATCCAAAATGCTCTTGTAGCTAAATTCAGTCACCTAACAGGAGTGCAAATCTGCATACAGCAAGGGAGGATTAAATCCCAAAGTCCATGTAGCAGTAAACCTAGTTGAGTGTCAAGTAATTAGTCCTGTGAACACTTTTCCCCTCACCCAGGAATGTAGTGGCTTCAGACTGAAAGCTGTCACTCCACAGGCATTAAGAAGAAAAGACTGAACTGGTAGTTCTGAAACATTAACCTCTCAAAGTGGCTATTGATTAACAAATACTCAGGTGTAACATAATCTGTAGATTAATTACTTGATGTTATTGCATCAGTATGTTCCTCATTGGCTTTACTTGGTGACAGTGTCTGTTACAGAATTGCTTAGCATGTTAGGGGTAGTTAAACTGGACATAAGCCTAACAAATGTGTGCAGCTCTACAGAATAGTTTATATGGTTAAATAACAATGCACTATAATTGTAGTCAAGTCATTTAAATATTAAGAGTTATTAACCTCTTTTAAATTTAAGTCTACTTTTAAGTGAAAAATTGTTTTATGCCCTAAGGAGCTCTTTGCTTTGTCTCACTGCACTTTTCCCCTGATGCTAGCCACTGGCAGAGCAAGAGCTAAAGTTTTTATCCTGTGCAAACAATCCTGCATGAAAAATACCCAAGCTCTAAATTAAGCCTGTCCTGTGATTATTACATCTTTATAAGCTAAATTGACTGCCTTAATGTTTATAAAGGAAGCATGGTGAACAAAGGGAAAACCTCAACTATTTTTTTGTTTCGAAGGCCTTACTGGTAGATATTGGAGTAGACAAACCTCTCCCACATGCTTCTGAATGTGAAAGTAGACCTCTGATTGACCTTTCAAATACTCCTGAAGTGAGTAAGATTACTCCTCCAAAGCCTGTATTTGCAGGGCACATAAAGGTAAGTTTTGTTCAAATCTTATAGTGCAAATATGTTAGCAGAAAAATCTCAACTGCCTGCATCCCCTTGTGTGCAGAGCAGCTCCACAGTACTGTAGGAGTTATTTAGTATTAGCTCAATATGTTCAATTTGACGTACATACTAAAGTGCTCTTAAGTAAAGAGAGCATAATGTTTAAACTCACTGTGCTAAACTAGAGCTCAGTGAGCAATCTGTAAATAGGACAGGGGGGAGGAGGATGGAGAAAGAACTTGGTGATTAAAGTGGTTGCTATAGAATTAAACTCTTCCAAAGCAGGAAGTGAATGTTGTTTTCAGGAGGCTGTGCAGGCTGACTCGTTTCCTTCTTTTGCACTTCTTCAGTACTTGGCAACAGCTCATTTTAATCAAAAAGGAAAGGTTGTCTCTCCTGTTTAACTCCTTTCCTCATCCCCTTCTTAGCTGTAAGATGTGTGTTGGAATCTGCTTTAAATTTTACAAGCATTTCTGGGCAAATGTTTTCTGTACATCAGTGGTTTGAAGGTAGGTGCCTTTAGATATTGTCAGATGAATGGAGGTAGCCTTTGACAATAGATGTAGTTGGGCTAAGTTTAATATCAGGTCCTTCAAAGTTAGTCAAAGGAGGAGGATCGCAGAAGTCTGATTTCTGGGGGCATGTTCAGAGGAGCTCAGAAGTGCTCTGCCCTGCTCTGGATGGCAGTGTCACTTGAATATGCATAGTAGTGAAACTTAGGAAAGCTTTTTAGACTTCTAAGGTGAATACAGGCAATAACAACCTTGTGAGAAGCTTGTGCTTGTCTAAGAATGAGCTTATGTTTAAATATCTGGACATTAAAAAAAAACGCTTGAGAGTGGAGCTTGTATTTGTCTTCTAGATACTAATAGGAACCCTAAACAAAAAGCACTTGAAGGTTAGAGATTATTGATTCTAGTAGCTATGTACAGCAGCTGACTACAGTTGCTAAATGGTGTTGTTTTTCTTTCAGCTAATTGATTTGAGTTCGCCTCTTATCACTCTGAGTCCTGATGTGAACAAAGAAAATCTGGATTCCCCTCTACTCAAATTTTGAACTTGAACTGAAATGAAGAATTCTTGGCAACTGTGATCTCTGAAGTGTTTCGGTGTAGCTCTTCACTCTTATGGTTTTTTGCAGCTGGCTATAGATTATCTGACGAGCTGCTTTAACACAATAGCATTCTAACAGTCTTGATGTAGTCATGGCTATAGATTATCTGATGAGCTGCTTTAACACCATAGCATTCTAACAGTCTTGATGTAGTCAAACTGAGTCTGACAATGGTTTTATTTGTGTATGTGCTGCAATGGATGTATTTATGTTGCTCTATGGCATAAAAGGGATATTCTCTCTACTGGAAACATCCATTTCCTACCATTTGTCCTTTGTTTCCTTATCCCCTATGTGCTAAGAGATTTTAATTTAAAATAAAGGGGTTATTTACCAAACTTTTGCTCAAAACATCGACTTTTTATTACAGGCTTTGGTTAGACTATTCTAGTGTGTCACTAACAAATGTTAATAGGTAAAGCTAGTGGATTTCAGGGTGGTGTAGCAAGTTTGGAAATGAACACTTTGTTGTTGAATGTCAGTGGAATAAATCAACAGCACCACCTGAATTTGTGATTCAAAGGGGAAAGTAACAGCTTGTTACTGCCACATGGTTTAGTCTTGATGCTTGAAGGTTAGACCTGAACTTTCTTGCTCTGAAAAGAATAGAAAAATGCTTTCTTACCTGAATTTGCCACATATGGAGACTTTAAATACAGGGATGTGAATGGAAACGAAAATGCACACAGTAGTAGCCCATAAATGTTGATGTGACAAGCCTGTTGTCTCGGTTTGAGAGACAGGTG